TTTTTTCAATTCTTGAATGAGACGATGCTGGATTCGCGCTCGACGTTTTTGATGGCGTTTCAAATGACGAATTTCTAATCTCATTGGCTGTCATTTTTACGGTTTTAAAACGTAGAAAAAGACAGCCAATGAGATTAGAAATTCGTCATTTGAAACGCCATAAAAAACGTCGAGCGCGAATCCAGCATCGTCTCATTCAAGAATTGAAAAAAAATGCAAAAACGTTTCGTATTTTTCTCGCATTACAAATTTGTTTTGTACGTTAAAATATTGTTAGTATATAGTAAAAGTATCGTAGATTTTATTTCCGTGATTAGTTTAGCGTAGATGTACAGATATTTGAAGTATTTTGGATTGTTTGAAAGTATATGTATCGTTAGTTTGATTGAATTTGCCTACCTTAGGAAATAATACAACTATACAATGCCTCGCCTGCGTGCAGGCAGGCAACCATAACATTGGGCTGCCTATGGTTTTAAACCATTATAAAATCAATATTTAAAACAAACTTACCTTCGTTAACGTCGGCTCCCTTCTTTTAGCCGATTCTTTCGCAGTTTCTTTCTCAGAGAGCTTTTGAAATTTACAAAATCTTGCAAAAATGCGAGCAAAATGAAATATATTTGCAAGAAATTTATCAATCATCAAATCAAGAAATGTTTGCTATTTCGCTGTCGTCATGCAGTCGTTATAATGCAAACTTTAAATTGGACCAATCAGTGTCCGCTATTCGTGATAGTCCACCATATTTTTGAGATCAGTGAGGATGACCACCCACCCAACATCGTTGGTGACCCACGCCCGCGATAATTGATGAACTTTAGACTCCGCTAATGCTTTCGTTTCCCCGGGTGTAAATAGCCGGGGGGAATTAGTACCCTCCGCCGTCGGCTCGGGGATGATTACCTGATAATCAAACCTAGCACAATCTATCTATCTATCTAGACCTACATGTAGTTTGCTTAAGCCCGGCGCACACTGGAGCTATCAGCTAAGCTGCAATGAAAGGTGATAGCTTTTCGAGCGCGCACACTTGGAGGAAATGTTCATTCGTGACCGAAATCATTCAACATGTTGAATATTCGGTGCCGATGGCACGCGTGGCTGTAATCGCTCAAAACGCCACCGAACACTGGGGAACTTGCTTACGCCAACAGTCACGAGTAACGCTCAGCCATCAGCTCCAGTGTGCGCCGGGCTTTAATGCTGTGTGAAGAATGGGGTCATTCATGTTTTAAAGAATGACTTACAGTAGCCTCCATTGAATACAAAACAGTAATTGATGAAATCATCAATGATTTAATAATGGGTGTAACCACCACGCTTCTCGACCACCTCAAGGCATCGTCTGGTCACCCGCCGTTGGTTGCACCCATGTTGAAGTGTGGTGGGAAACATTCATACGATCGGGAAAACAAAGAGAAGTCGAGATTTCGTGGACTGTACACTTTCCAAAGTCGTCTAACATTCTTTGAAGTATTCTTCAAAGTAGGCGGCGTTATAGATTGTCGTACAACCTGTGGAAAATTGCAGGCTGCCAGCTTCTATTCGAAACTCTGATAGTGCTTAGTGAAACCCACAAAATAAAACTTAAAGTACTGTAAAACATAAAATTAAATTATTTCCTTCGTTTTTGTTTTCTAGCAATTGAAACATGCTAGTGTATTATTATTTGCAAATAAACAAGACTTAAAGGTACGAGATCTATAAGTGGAGTGAGCTAGCCCAGTAGAAAGGGAACTGTCATAAAACACAAAGTAAAATATGCTATATCCTTCCTTGGCCTGGGAGCCTCGCGATTGTGAATCACGACCTGACGACCATTGGCTCTTCGCTCACGATAAATGAGAACCAGGCTCTTGGGCCATACCCTCGATTTGTGACGTGTGACAAGTCACGCCACCTTGAAATTAACGGCAATTTCTTTGTCCCTAGGGCTCTATGACATCCGCTGAAATCTCACAACAACTAAATCTAACGTCAATAAAAGATCACGGCTGGCATATACAGGTTTGTGTGCGATGTTATAGGAAGCACAATATGCAACTCATTGGGATTAAGTTTAGCATGTTGTCTTCTGCAGCTTGGGACACTAAAGGCCCTCTGCTATGCACGTAAAAACGCACCATTTGTAACAAACCTGCAGCAGACTTGTAGCAATGCTGTTCCAACAACTTGTCAACAGGATGTGTTCCCAGCTTGTTGACAAGTTGTCGACGGCTTGTTGACATCTTGCTACAATGTTATGTTGAGCTCAACAGACTTGTTACAAGTTTGTTCCAACAACTTGTTATCGTTCTGCAATTCAACAATTTCAATTTGTCAACAAGTTGTGAGTGACAACTTGATAGAATAACAGCATTGTCACAACTTGTTAACAAGCTACTGTACAAGCCTGTTGCGAACACATCTTGTTGACAAGGAGTGTGAGACTTTTACTTGTGTATGTGTGGAGAGCTTTCATTCAGCAACCTGAGACTAAATAGTTAGAACATGAAGGAGCTCAATAGACCATTTCTGAATTACGCTCTACACGTCAAGAACAATAACGCCAAGTCGAAGCTTATAAATATAGTGATGAAATTATAGAAACATTATTTACAATTTAACACGAAGCATCGTTCTCAAATCTCAGGCTATTGTCTGAATCGATCTTAGCCTAATGCTGGCTGCGGGCATTCGATCGTAATCCAGAGATGGCCTGCTGCATCATAAAACACATACAATTGACTACGACATTTCTTAGTGCTGTCTTGTCTCATCTTATCTTGCCAGAATTACGCAGTTCTTAAGTGCAGTTTTGAATACCTTGGAAGTTGGAACAGTGACGAAGCTAACCATGGCAACGACAACATGCTATGCTAATAAAGCTGCATCTAAATAAACAATACATGTCTAAAAGTTTGAATAATTCAAATCATTAAGAATTTGCATAGCATGACCTGTTGCTGTGGCTAGCTTCACCATTGCCTTGTTGGTAAAGCAACATTTAATTACGCGGATAGTGAGAGTATACTTGCGTATCTTCGTGGTCTTTACTAAAAACAAAGAAGTACCAGATCGTAATATGAATTATCGCACCTGTATACAGCTATTTCAATAGACAATTCCCATTATAGACTAATTTTAAAACTAGGCAAGGAGATGCAAATAAATCACCACAGCTAGAAAGAGCATACTAAAATTAGTAAAATTACAAAATTTGGTTGCGAAATGTTGTAAAATGTGGAAATTATAGCCTTGCAAAGTTCGCAAATTTTGTATACTTTTGTATTGCGTGCGACCATTTTCGGCCTAAATGTGGTAGGAATGTGGTAGGAATTTCCGCAAGCAATACAAAAGTATACAAAATTTGCGAACTTTGCAAGGCTATATTTTCCTCATTTTACAACAATTCGCAACCAAACTTTGTAATTTTACTAATTTTAGTATGCTCTTTCTAGCTGTGGTGATTTATTTGAGTTTCCTTGCCTAATTTTAAAATTAGTCTATGATGGGAAATGTCTATTAAGGTTGTCCACGAGCAAAGCGGAAAAGTCGAATACGAGTGCGAAAGGCTGCTGGGAACCGCTTTGAAAATTCATTAATTTGTTAGCGATTCCCAGCAGCCTTTCGCGCTCGTATTCGACTTTTCCGCTTTGCTCGTGGACAACCTTAATTGAAATAGCTGTATACCATTAAAATGTTTTCATTTCTACTGTTAGAAGTGATTAGTTATTTGCTTGGGTAATCTCCACCACTGATTCTATGAATTCGTATATACACTCGAACTACCAGCTATGGACAGCGCCCACGTATGTGGAGAGTTGTAATCTTCACATGTTGGATGAGTATTCAATTAAATGTATCGACCGTCTTTGTTTCTCTTGCAGGCGTGTTGTGCACTAACTGGAGAAGGGTAAGTAGTATTTATAGCACATGCATGATAACATTTCTTGAAGAGTACGTATGTTAAGTTGCAAGCTAGAAATATTGCCATGCAGAGTTCATGATTATTTTAGACTACATTCATACTACACCGGAGCGAAATAATGCCGGCAGAATTTACGTGTGTTCACACTACAAAGTTACAGTATGATTACAAATCAAATTAGCACTCATGTAAACCCAAAATGTTTCAAATAGATCAATGTCGAATCGCGTCTGGCGTGTCTCGGCCTTTACGGTCAGGCTTCAGTCAATGATATTTCTTTCATTTGCATATTTAGTGTGTATAGTTCATGAAATTCTGTATATACAATTACGTTTACCGTCTGCCAATTTTCATCGTGTTGAGCTTCTTAATATGCAGGGATGCATCCACCCAGATCTGGTAGGGTGTGTGCTCATCGACCCTTCGTTGTGTATTGTTTGGGAGTGCGACCATTGACCAAGTTAATCACCAGGGGCTAGGTAGTCTTAATATCCTGTTTTCCCTTCCTTAAATGAGGGTGGATGACGGGAAAAGTGGGCTTGACACAAATCGCTGTCTGGCCGCATTTAAAAAGCCAAAATCCAGCTTTTCACCTGATTGGTCTATCAGACAAAAAAATTAATCTGTCTTTGATTGGTTACTGCAAATTAGATTAAACTATTGTTCATGACATACAGGGTGAGTAAAAAAATCCCGACACCTTTGTTATTCAAATTAGCCGCGAAGGTATCAGTTTTTTTTACTCACCCTGTATTCAGTAGTTTTAAGTATAATTGATTGTTGTTATTGTGTGAATTTGACATTTCTCCTGGGATATTTTGATTGGATACTAAATATAAACTTCACTGTGGGTGGGTGGAGAGAGGTCGGATTAAAGATTGTGTCAGGCTCTATTTGTAAAATAACCTGATACTTAGGTTAGGGGCGGTTAGGGGCTACGCACAGCAGTTGTGGGCACCAGTGTTCAGTTCAATGAAAATCTGGCACAATGAGCTTCCGCCATCTAGCACTGCAACGGCATAATGGGGGATATTTGAACCCGTGCAGGGTGCAAAATTGAGCGACAACTGTGCGTGGCCGAAATTTGGGATAAAACAACTTTAGTAAGTTGGATATCGCCAAAAGTAACGGCTCTCTCGAGGCCAGGGGCCGGTTGTTCAAAGGTGGATTAGCGCTAACCCTGGGTTAAAATTTAACCTGCTGTTTTAGTTTGTGTATTTCTGTACGTCTGTTTATTTCAAAACTTCAGAGAAGTAAACTCCTATCGATCCAGACAAGATCTCTGAAGAAATATTTCCAAATTTATAGACAATCTGTCAGGAAGTTCACTTCGAATTTTAAGTTAACCTAGGGTTAGCTAACCCAGCTTTGAACAACCGGCCCCAGAACTATAGTAATATAGTTACCGTTATTTTTATCAATTTTTGTAACTAGTTACAAGTTACCTTAAGTAACGAGTTACCGTTACACGTATTCAAACATGTAACTTGTAACGAAGTGACTCACAGCACTGACTATTATAACATACTGTTTTTCATGTATTTTAGATTATATTCCGGTTTAGAATGGATTGTTAATCAACGAAGAAAATAGAAGGTTTTTCTACGGCGCTTGGATCACGCATGCAGCTGCAACGCCAAGCAGTGTATATAAAGAATTTAAATAACAAATGAGGGGACTTGGTGAATTACTAACCACTTTACCTGCATGCGATAAAGGAAAGGTCCAAGACCAACATGGAAACAATTTGTGGTCCGGCATTGGCAAACGACCTCGGTGGAAGATGGAGTTCTATGAAAGGTGCAAAGAATGGATGAAATGCTCTGTTTTACTGACAATATTCGTATTTCGATATAAAATATTGACGTTTTCATTACAAATTCTACACGTATTTTACAAATCGCCCTTCCCCGTGCTATTTAAGGTAGACGTTAAAGTTCAATTCGTTCAAAGTCACGCCACAAAGGGGATATTTCACGCCAAATAAGATAAGATAAACTGGAGAAAAGATGTCATTAGATAAATTTTAGCAACAACAAACAAAGTAATTTGCAATTCATTATTCATCTAATGACATCATATCCGGCAACTTCTACATTGAAAAGTCGGACATTTCTTTTTGGAATGACCGAAAAACTATATACATAACAAAAATCACATTTGTGGTAAGTGGTGTTTTAAATATATTTTCTCTGATGGTAGATTGTGTAAATAATATAAATAATTCTGAGAAGTAAATATTGTGCTCACACTAGTTCACAATGCAAATAAGTATTAATAGATCCATGGTTTTGAATCCCATGTACTCCTAGCCATCACCATTCCACGTGCGCCTTTAGAATTATTATACGTCAAATGTATTTTATTAGTCTTCAAATATAGATATGGACGTTTTATCAATATACAATTCATTACTATATGAAATGTCAGATAGTAGATTAACAATAATCATGCTCCATGTTTATGGGGTATTTCTGGCTAGACTGTGGTTGTAGATTTAATGATCAAATGAAGGGTTTACTGTATGTGAGCGCCACTTTAGTTGTAGCCTTGCGGCAACCTGTGCGCTTCAGCTTGCCAACATATTGCAACTCTTGTACCAGAAATCTCAGTTCTTCTGACTTAAGTTAGTGAAAGCTATAAAAAGGCCTTCCCAGTAATTGAATTACAGCTTTGTTGCACAGTTTCGCCCTACCAACGTCAGCGTCCACCTGCACTGTGTGCATATATGGATTAGAGAGTGACATAATATATGTATTAACACAAGCTACAGTCGGTGGAATGAATATAACTGGAACGCTACCTCCACCTGGAGATTTGAAGCCGAACTTGAAGGCCTGTCCCAGTCTTGCTTACGCGAGAGAATCGCGAGGCATAAACACGCGGGTCTTGACCCCCCAGGTAATAGGCGGTTTATCTGAAGGTAGCGACGTAGCGTTCCAGTTATATTCATTTCACTGGCAACAGTATCTCTACCGATCTCTACATCAACATCAGATGCATCAACATAGTCTGTAACTGCTTCTTAGTGTCGAGTTCGTGGTAAGGTTGTATTTTCAGCCTGTTTATATGGGACCCACAATCATCCACGAAATATGTTGGAATCCACATTCTCCCTATTTCTACGTTGAATAGCTGCTATACTGCCTTTCTAACAGAAACATAACCTGACACTAGAACGTAACTGTCTCATTGGCACTCAAAATCTAACGCAGGCCTAGAAATATATTTCTCTTCCTGGCAGAAAACTCCAGAAATAAAACTTCTTACATTCCTGCAAAGATATTGGTGCTGCTGGCGTTGCTGGACATTTTCCAGCACATGGTCTAACGCATGATACTCAACATTTCAACAATGTTACAATATATTAGTTCATTCAATTTTCACTGTCCAATAACATTTGTTAGTATATTGGTTTTATTTCGGTGTTTTTGCGGAAGACTTTCTGTAACGCCATACAGTGTCAATTCCAGCGCAAATGACAGCTTCAGGTTGCCAGTCGGGCAATGGAAAACGACACGCCAATACTCTCGCGTCGCTCTTCATCTCACAGGCAAATTTTTCTTGTAATTTGGGCATCTGTAAGATATTTATTAAAACACTTTGTGTGACGCAAAATAGTGAAACTGTATGGCAAATCAAGATTGGCAAGAAGAGAGCTCAAAACAATAGTCTACGACTGGGCGATGTGAGTGACTCTTCGTCACTCTGCAACCTCGTTCCCAGGCTTTTCCCTCCTGTGAACGATCGCGAGGTTGCGTTACTGTAATATCAATGAAAAGGTTTTACATGACAGTCGAAGCTTTTATCAGGGTACTACAATGGTTATTGCCGCGTACTTGAGCTGGTGCCTGGTGTACCTATAGTCTTTAAAATAAAGTACATAATGTTTCTGAAATTTCTGAAAGGTATTCATTCAGTAATCTGAAGCTACGAGTTAGAACGAGATGGATGACAATCGCATACACAAGAATCAACTCCAACATTCCTTAGTCAATTACTCTTCATTTCAAGACATGTCAGACGTACCCATCTTTGCCGTATCTTTGCCTTTCCTTTGGTCATTCTATTGCTGCCAGTGTTGGTTTGCTTCTGATACTCGAGTCTGTTCACTGAAACGGGGGTTGCTTGATATGGGAATATCCCTATGACCTATGGGTACATTCTAGCTGTCAAGATCTCGAGAAACGGCTTTTTTTCTCATTTGAATAGCCCGCGTGCAGGCCCAAGGGAACTGATAGTGGGCCTGCAAGCAAGGCCCGGTATTTTGTAAAACGCCCCTTTTCATAACACGCCCCATTCGCGCGTCAATTGTCAAAAAAGAACCAATGACAGCACCCAAATATTAACAAACAAACTCGCATTAAAATGTTGCAGGCTTTTCTCTGCTTATTCAGAACATAAACAATGTCTAAATGGCTGCGTTTTAACTCCAAAAAAGCAAGCAACGCCGTCAGTAATTGCCAAATTTGCCGGTGCTCATTTTTAACTAAAATCGGAACAGGCAAATTAAGACGAATTTGAACAGAAAACCAGTCTCAAACTTTAAATCGTGAGGGAAGTCGTGCGACCACATTAGCATTTATAATGTGTACTGCTTCGCTGTCGCCATTGTTATAAATAAATTGTCTCACTTATCAGATCGTGTGTGCAATTCTTGTTGGCGGCGGAAAGTACGAAATTTATTACAGTTATTTCATTTGGTGAGAACTCTACAAAAGAAGAGAGCGTTAAGAGTCCAGATCGTTTCGTTTCAAACGGCAATTTAATACCGTCTTCTGTTTTGCTCTCTCAGCGAAGCCTTGTAAATCGAAAAGTATTTTGAATAGGCTTAATACATGCAACTGCATCTCAACATCAACCAAAAGATAATTTTCTTGAGGAACATATAACGTATCAAGTCTGTTTGAAATTAATGAAACTCAAGTAAAGGTTACTATAGCAGACCTCTCAACTCTCACGCATTTGGCGTGTGTCTCACCAGGGCGTAGTAAAACACAGTGTTTTATAGTGTTTTATAGCGCCCTAGTCTCCTACGCATACCTACTTAGCCGGGCTGAGCCCTCACGTAAGGTATGCTTACTTTGGCCAAGAATTCCTTTCCTCAAAATTAGCCAATCA